CAAACCCAGTTCTAAGAACATACTCAAGAGAAACTCTGGAACATGGTACAGAGATATGTACAAGATGTTCACTGCAGCAGTTTTGGTAATTGTGACAAATTGCAGCCAACATAACAGCTCATGAGGGGGCTGGATATATAAACTTATCTGTTGCACAGTGGCTAAAATGAACAACCTTATTTCTACACGTCCCCAAATAGCTGAATCTAAAAAAGGGTCTTGGGGTGGGGGGGATTTTCAAATTGTAAAAGGTGTACAAGCTATGAAACCATGTATATAAATTTTCAAAACACTCAAAAGGTAACATTGTTACAGGTGACACTGGTAAAAGTTCGAAGGCAGAGGACAAAAGGTGCCTTCAGCACAGTGAAGAGATCAGAGATTTGATCCCAATCCCACTGCAGACTTGCCTGTGGGCAAATTGCTAATCTACAGATCCTGGATTTTCTCTGCTGTAAAATGAGAACAACCCCTTTATGTCATGAGATTTTTCAAGGAATGGGTGTCTTGGTGGAAGAGTACGCTCAGTCAATGTTAATGAACCCCTTCATTGTCCTTCGTCATCATCACTGTTTGAAGGGAGAGAACCATGTCTCTTTAATGTCTGCAAGGCCTCTTCATACCCCACTGAAGGTACAGGACAAGAACCCCCATGTTTAGCTCTTGCACACGTTCAGATTTTAGAAATTTGAACTTTCTTGCTGTGATAGAACACCCAAGTATAGAAGTGCATATCCATGAAAGGCTGGGTACATGACGTAAATCATAAGAAAATAATTAGAAATAGGTGGGATTGACTGTGGAGGCCCTTTCTGATGTCCTGCTGTGGTAGAAAGAGCACTTGATAGAATTTTGTGAGTATGTGGGTCCCTGTTTCTCCATCTGAGAGACACCGGGGCTGGACAAAGGAGACCACTTCACTCCAAAGCCAGTTACTTCACCTCTTTGAGCCCTCATTTCTCTATCCGTTTATGGGTAATAAAGCCTTCCTAAGGCAGCTATTATAAGGATAAACAAATGCATGCACTGAAGCTAACAAATGGAGGTACTTACTACATAGTCCTTATTTTTGCAGCTCAGGGCTTCTAATCTCTTCTCTGTGATAAGGGAGATGCATTGCAGACCTCCTCCCTGACATTAGCAAAGGTCAAAAGACCTACCTATCTTAGTGCCTAAAAAAAGTCAAATTCGAGCTAGTTCTCTGGCTTATAATGTAATTATTATTGTTTTTAGTTTTTTACTGAGAATTTTTCATGGACTGTCTCTTCCCTTAATGCCACAGTGGGTCTGTAGTAGGCAGGTCCATAGGCTGAACAGAGTAGGGACAGTAGGCCAGGTGCAGAGGAGCACCAGGAGGAGAGCCCCGGGTGCCTAGCAATGAGCAAACTACAAGCCCTGCACAACCACTGCCTTAAGTATTAACCCCGGGTGCCAACAGGTATGAATGAGTTTGAGTGGCCTTCCCTAAGAGCAGGGTTTTGTTTTGTTTTGTTGTTTTGGTCGGGGGGAATGACTTCAGATTCCCAGGGTCTGGGGAAAAACCAGCTTCACAAACATGAAGGGCTAAGGAGTGATGACTGTCCTCTGCCATCTTTTTAAGGGTCCCTTTTCCCCTGCCTTGTCAAAATGCAAAGCTTTTTACTAGAGAAATCAAGGCAGAACGAGCATTTTCTAATAAAGCAGACAATTACTTTGCAAATATTTAGGCAGAAGCATATAGATTTATGGATCAAGAAATGATTGTGTTTGTGCAGCAACTTCTTGTCTACACATCCCCAGGGCCTCAACAAAATTCGAGTTTATAACCGCAGTCACAGGTTTCATTATGGTTTGCTTCAGGTAGGAGATACATAGGTTAAATTTTCAATATACCTTATTTTGCCATGTATAATGTGCACTTTTTTGCCCAAATCTTTTGGGGAAAAATAAGGATGTGCATGATATGTGGGTAGTACTAATTCTGTATCTATATAAATGTTTTTAATTCTTTTATGTATGCTTATGGGTTAAAAGTGTAAATCTAGAAAGCAATAACAATATCCATATGCAAAATAATACCTTGGAATATGATCATTGGTTTTGTTTCTAAATACAATTAAGTAAAAAAAAACTGAAATAAAAAATTAAAGTGAAATATTTTTTCTTTGAAAGTGTGTACCAAAAACATGGGTGTGCGCTATACACAGGTGCGCATCATACATGGGAAAATACAGTACATTAGCAAGATATTGTTTCTTTAGCTCCCACCTTGAATACTAGGGGAAGGCACAGAGCTAGTTATATGACTAGTTTTAAAGAGAAAAACCACAGGCCCAAAATGGCATCATGATACCAAAATTAGATGTTTTTAAATCCTCACCTGAGGATTCAGAGAGACAGAGAGACAGAGGGTGGGGGTGGGGAGAGGGACAGAAGTTGTGGGGAGAGAGAGAAAAGGGGAGAGAAAGATCGACATGAGGGGGAAACATCACTCGGTTGCCTTGAGTACACACTCCAACTTGGGATTGAGTCCTCAACCTAGGTGTGTGCCCTGACCAGAAACTGAACCTGCAAATTTTGGAGTATGAGACAACACTGCAACCAATTGAGCCATCTGGCCCAGGGCCAAAACTAGATTTAATGCCTGATTTAATTGCAGTTTCAACCTCTCCCCAAACCATAATTTTAATCAACCAGTCTGGAATTTTCTGGCCAAACACCAGTAAGGTAATTTGTCCTGTGGACTCTCTCTGATCCCTCCAACACATAGGAAGAAGAAATCTGCAAGTTAAAAACCCTTCCCTTCATCTTGGTTGGTGTGGTTCAGTGGATTGTGTGCCAGCCTGCAGATTGAAAGGTTGCTGGTTCAATTCCCAGTCGGGGCACATGCCTGGGTTGAGAGCCAGGTCCCCAACGGGCAGCATGCGAGAGGCAGCCATCTCCCTCTTTTCCACTCTCTCTAAAAATAAATAAAATATTTGGGGAAAAAACCCTTCCCTTCTTTTCCCCCAAAGAACAGGTGTCCTGGCTCCAAAGTAGTCATTTCCTTTCTATAAAACCTTCCTAACAATCCTCTGCATTACCCTTAAGGAAAGGGCCTCACCTGAAATAATCCACTGTAATTTCTTAGTGCCACCTCATTCTGCCTATAAAACCTTCCTTTTTGTACAATTCCTCTGACTGCCCTTTAGTTGCTAGATGGGATGCTGCCTAATTTATGAATCATTTACTAAAGCCCATTAGATCTTCACAGTGGTGATGTTGAATTTTGTTTGTTTTAAACAGAAGAATAACGAGTGGCTGAAAGTCCTCACTCAGCCCAGAGGGGATGGGATTATGAAACAGGTTCTTGTTAAGAAATAGAGTTTTAACTTTTTTGGTTGCAAAATGAACGTTTACTTCACTTCCTCCTCTGTGTTTTCTACAGAACACTCAGAGCTGTGACTGAATTTGCTTCCGTTTCTCTGGACCACAGTTTGCTGTGGAGCTAAAGTCAGTTAGTGGTGACAACCACTCTCCTCCAGTAATGTGCCCTGAGGGTTCCTGTCTCCCTGAGGGTGATTTTCCAGGAAGCAAAGACTGGAATCAAAAGAATCCTGGGATTTCATGTATCTTTTCCTTCAAAACCTCCCTTACCTAATCATGTGAGGTCAGCCCAGGAGTGCAAGGAATTGCCCATACGGCTTTAAAATACTTGAATAAAGGAGATAAAAAGAAGCTGCCAGACACCAGAAAATATGACTCACTCTCATTTTACACTAATTCAATGTTTTGTGTTCATATTTGTTTCTCAATTTTTCCCTAGTCTCCTAAATTACTATACATTCACCCAAAGCAAGTAACTTTTTAAAAATTAAGGTATGACTGACATATAACATTATGCTAGTTTCAGGTGTACAAAATCATAATTTGATATTTGCATATATGGTCACATGATCACCACACTAAATTAACATCCATGACCACATATAGTTAAATTTTTTTCTTATGATGAGAAGTTCTAAGATCTCCTTTCTTAGCAACTGTCACATATACAATGTAGTATTATTAGCTGTAGTCACCATGATGTGCATTACCAAAGAGCTTTCAATGTACCAAGTTCATGGGCAATTCTCTCTAACCTTAAGAAAAATGGAATTATTTACACCTGGAGTAGGGAATCCTTGAGCAGATTTTTTTTAAAGAAAGTTAAAATCGGTAGTAGCTACACATGAGAATAAACAATGATTTATTTTTCTGTTCACAAATGGTCTGGTTCTAGCTGAAAAGTCAGGCTCCAGAGAGCACAGAAACACGCAACAGGACAAAAACCTAGAGCTCGTGCCGCTTAAGTACACTTTCTAGATTTTTACTGTTAGCCACGCAGATCTCTAGATAAAATCCTCAAGAGATTTAGAACCAGTCCTTCCTTTATATACATAGAAGGTTCTTGTAATTGTCTAATTAAAGATCTCTAGAGATTAGCTTTAGTGAGAGAGAAAAAGTGATGTGAAGCCAAAACTGGACTGTGGTACAGCACACTATTTCTACCTAGTGCAATGTTCAATATAAGAATCCAGTGATCCATCAACACACTCTTTGCCAAACACTTGAAATAATGAGCTATTTCTTGCCAATAGATTTATTGACCGTCAATACTTATTTCAAGTGATTGAGTCACTTCAATGTTTGTGAGAAACAGCAAGGTATAAATTAATTAATCACAGAAAAAATTTCTAGTGTCTGACATTAACAACAAAGCCATCTTCAAGTCCAGGCAAATCTCTAAAATGAAGAAAGTACTTCACTCCGGCTCTTCAACTCCCGCCAGCTGTTGTGGACAAAGAAAATGAGTAAACGGAAGCCTAATATTGAGGCAACTAAGTAGAAAAAACAACCTGGAAGTAATTTGCTGCTTCCTGGAAGAGATGAATCCGATGCGCAACTTAAAGAAAAGAAACCAAAACAAAACTCTCTCCAGCACCAGCCAGGTTGATAGGAGGTATTACTGGTTGGAACACAGAAAATCAGCAAGTACTTACGACCATTATTAATGTGCCCAAGAACTCAGAGAGTGTTTCTTTAGCTACACTGCTCTTCAGGACCAGTCTTTGCTTGAAGCTTTTCCTCTTTTGTCTCTTCTCAGGCTGCATCGTGTGGCTTCTCCAAGGACCACTCTTGCTGCCAATACCTGCTTCTTCTGGTCTCTACTTCACTCACACAGGAAAAAGGAAGTTTGACAACTGCTCATAAATTCCTTGAGATCTCTGATGAGATTATTCGACTCCACACTGTCCCAGTGACAGTCTGTGACTTAATCCTCCTCTGGTGAAATTGTCACTCCCTGTTCGCTGCTATTTATTTGAATCAGCAAGTTAAAACTTTTGAAATTTCAAAAGAAACTTTTTATACTTTTTCTGCCTAATGGATTAATCATTACCTTTATTCTGAAGGTACTTTGTCTTGGATGGATTGGGTTTTTTTTCTCTTCAAGAGAGATGAAAAAAGAGACGTGCTGGTTGTGTTGCCAAACCACAGCGATGGGCTCCCGTCCAGAGGAGATTTCTGTTACACAATGGCAGGCTTCTGATTTTTTTCAACTATTCGGAAGTGGGTGGTTGGGGTGCAGTTTGGAATTGTCAAACCAGGTGTATATACATCTGTGTAAATGTTCTTTTGTGAAAGAGATTGTCATGCAAATTGGAGAATGTGAAGAATACATTGATGTGTCTTTCTGTAAGATGAATCACTCTTGTTTTCTTTTAATATCATTTCAATGATTGAGTGATGCACCCTTAAGAGTGATAACCACTGTGTCCATTCTAGAGATGGAGAGACTAACATACAGACAGACCACTGCAAGTCTGTAGCATAAAATGGGGTCTCTTCCTGTCACTGAAACTGGACATAATTTTCTGAGGAAGTTTGGGATCCAAGAATCAGAAAGATGGAAAAGGCAACTTGTTGAGTTCCTTCCGAAGAAATATTCCAGTTTGAAAACCAATTTCCTCCCTTTTACGTACCATAAAATATTTAGGTAAATTACATGAAAAATAAAAAATAGCAGCCTAAAAATTCATACCGCTTAAAGGTCACTGAGCTAGAAAGAGATCCGTCTGAATGTATGCCACCCCAGTTAAACAAGAAAGTGGGTAAATACACCTAAATCGGGCTTTTAGGTTTTCAGTTTGATGAATTATATTCTTTCAGGGAACACTATTGAGAATTAGCTTCTTGTCATGTCAAATATTCAAGCCTCGTTTTTTTCAAAACTAGTTTGTCTGAAGAAATAGAATCCAGCAGTTGTTTCTAAATACAAAGGCAGTCCCATGCTCCTTCCAACCCTCCCACAGAGAAGCTGGCTTTGTTTTATGCCCTCCCCTACCTTTGCAGGAGGCCAACAGACATTTCCAGCTGAGGAGGCAGGCTGGAAGGGAAGGAGGAGAGGTCTGGAAAAAGCTGTTGAAAGTTCAAGGGCAAAAGGAGACACCTAATGTATAGGTAAAACATAGAGTTTAGGACTAAAAAAATTATGTCTTGGCTGAGGACACACCCTTTATTGTAAAGCCAGAACAAGAATAAAGCATTTTGGCTGTAATTGCTGGTTAAGTTATCATTGGCTATCATTACTTAGGAGAGTTCATTATGACCACTCTACTCCCAAGCCCCAGAGGATCAACCAGAGAAACAAAACTTCATTGCTGTGACTATAGCTAATACCAGACAGAGGTTTATTTTGGTTTCTTTGTTGGCTCATCTAAGAAGTATTTATGGCATACCCATTAAGTGCCACACCCTATGCTTAGCAAAAACATGGGGTTTTTGCCCTTCGTGAAGAGTCTACTGAGGGAGACAGGCATAAGTGAAATAATCGCACACACAGAAACATGAGCTCACAGCTAAGATGTATGTCATAAGGTTGGGGGACATGAGTGAACATAACAGGGAGATTTCACTTTGTCAGAGAGATCTCTCATGGCTCCTCCAAAGAAATCATATCTGAGCTGAGATCAGAAGGAAGCTTAGGGGTAAATGACAGATACTGGAGAAAGAAGAGCATGTAGCTAGGCCTTGAGGGTTAGAGATGAAAATAGTATGATGCCTATCTAAGAATGAAACAATCTCGTTGCAGCTGGCTCGCAGAGCAAGCGCAGGAGTGGGGCAAAATGAGCCTGAGGCGTGGGCAGGGCTCAGACCTTACTGAGCCTTGTAAATACTGTTTAGGGCTAAAATCAATAAGTCTTTGAGGTAGTTTAAGCAGGAAGGTAATGCCAACAGATTTGAGTTTTGAAAAGATCACCCAGGCTGGTGAGACGGAGAGGGGATTGGAAGGGACCTCGTGTGGTCATAGGTGGGTCCATTGTGGATTATTACAGAAATCTAGGACTGGATGGTAGCTTTGAAAAAGGAGAGAAATAGAACAATTCAAGAGTTCTTTGTATCTTAAATTGGAAGTCTTAATGGTTTGGATAGAGAAAATGAGGGAAAAGGATCCATCAAAGTTGATGGCTTGCTGGGAAGAGGTGGCAAGCAACTGGAGAGCAAACTCTGGAAGAGGACCAGGACTGGGGTGGAAAATCATGTATTCTGCTTGCGCAGGGCAAGCCTCATGGGCTCTCTGATGTTCCTGAGAGAAGATGTCAGGTAGCGAATGACATGGGTCTTGATTCAGAGGGCAGGTCTGTGCATGCATAGAGGTGATAATTAAAATCATGAATAAAGATGAGGTTATATAGGGAAAGAGTTTGAAGAGAGCAGAGGCTGAACATTTCATGTTCAGGTAGAAGAGAATAAAATCTTCATTATTTTTTATTCTATCTTCAAACAGTGGTCACACTTTTCACCTCTATCACCATGAACAACTCATCACCAACATAACCTACAGTCCCCAGCCAGCCACCAAACAAAATATTCAAAAGCACCCAGAGAAGGCAGATAATAACATCTCCCCTCTACATGGGAAAAGACATTTTCAAAGTCACTCTCATGCTAAAGTTCCTACTGGCAATATGGGACTGCTTAATTTCTTTCATGTGTTTATCCAGAAAAACCTTGGGTATTTGTCATGTGTTAATGGGGGACTCAAGAGTTGGAAAATGTTAGTTTAGGTAATAGCTAAGAAGCTTAGTAATCAATGCATTATAAAAAAACTATTGTTCCAGGAACTGAAGGTATGACCCACCTTGACTCCAGGAGACCATAAACAGTTCTACCTTTGTGCCTCAGGAGGATTGCAAACAATCAAGATGGTATCTGAGCCATTGTACTCTAAGGTGAGATGACCACCGCCCAGGACATGGATGAAAGAAAGCTGCAGCTTTTAACTGATTAACTTTTCCCCTGAATTCCAAACCCCTTACTTACACTTTTCTTCTCCTTATAAAAAGGGTCGATTTAAAATGGAATTGAAGACAGTCTGTTAGGGTACAAACCCTCTGTCTTCACAGATTGCTGACCACCTGAATAAAGCACCCATTAAGATTCACTACTTGTCTCTGTTTATTGGGTCTGGTAGGTGACAAGCAGCATGAATGCTGGCTTTTCTGGTTTCAATGTCAGGCATGATATTAAAAAGTGGACATTCAAATATGAGGAAGAAAGATCTCTTCTGTTAAAAGAATTACATTGTCCACATGATAAAGACCTCCAAATGAATATATCAAATAGTAAAATAGAAGTATATGCAAAGTACTGAACCAAAATTCCAGCCATTGGAGAACTTCTGGTCAAGATGGCAGCATAGGCAGACATGGCTTGCCTCTTTGCACAACCACATCAAAATTACAACCAAAATATAGAACAATCATCACTCAGGAAAGTCAGAAATTGAGTTGAATGGAAGTTTGGCAACTACAGAATTAGAAAAACTGAAACTGGAAAAAACACTGGAGTTCAGGTTGCCTGTCACTACAAACCCCAATAATCAGAGACAGGGATTGAATCTTTATGGGCGCTTTATTCAGATGGCCAGTGATCTGAGAAGATGGTAGGTTAATACCCTAATAGACCATCTTGTCTTTTCTTTCCAGGTCAAGGTTTTTATAGCAGGGAATAAACAGGGTATGGTGAAGGGTTTTGAAATTCATGGAAAAGTTAATTGGATTAAAAAAAAAACAAATTCAGCATTCTTGTCCTGGGTGGTAGTCTTTAGCTGTGTCCTGGCCAGTGGTCATCTCACCCTGGAGTACAGTGGCTTGATTTTGATAGTGGCCTATCATCTTGAGTTGCTTTCAGTCCTCCTGAGGAACAAAGGTGGAACAGCTTATGGTCTCCTGGAGTCAGGGTGGGTCATACTTTCAGTTCCTGGAACAAAAGGTTTTATATGTATTGATTATTAAGCTTATTAAGCTTGCTATTGTTAAGCTTATTAGCTATTGTTAAGCTTATTAGCTAAACTAGAATTTTCCAGCTCTTGAGTCCCCTATCAAAACCACATCCATCCAGACTGGTAGAAGGGGTGCAGGTGCGGAACACCTATGTAGATAAAAATTCGGGAGGGACATATTGAGAGTGAGGAGTCCCATCAGGCTCACCAGCTCAGGATTCAAGTGCCAGGAAAATAAGTCACCAAAACTTCTGGCTGCAAAATCCATCAGGGATCAAGTCAGTGGGAGAAACTGCTGGATCCCCAAGCATTCCTTTTAAAATTCCCACACACCATACCCAGACTCACTCCCTCTGAGCTCCAGCTCTGGGGTAGCAGCTTGAAAGGCACCAGTGGTATATAGGGAGAAACTGAAGTATCTGGCATCAAGGTGAGCAGAAGCCATTGCCCCTTTGCTAAACCCTCTCCCCACAGAGCTGGTAAGCTGTTGCCATATCTGAGACTCAATCAAGCTGGCTAACACTATTTGACCCACTTTGGAGATTCCCAGAGGCTCTGCCCCATCCAACTTACAGGCCTACCTAAGCCGCTTTTCCCTATGAATGACTGATATTGGCTCCTAAATCATATCAAATACGAAACAGCTGGCTTCTGTGAGCCCCAGAGGAGGTCAGATTAGAGTCACAGCTTGGCTTCAACTGGGAAACTCCAGAAAAAGAACTAAATGAAATGGACATAGCAATATCAGATAGAGTTTAAAACAGTGGTTATAAGAATGATCAAGGAGCTTAATGAGGACCTCAACAGCATAAAAAAGATTCAATCAGAAATGAAGGATACACTAATTGAAATTATCAATTTACAGGAAAACAACAGTAGAGTGGATGAAGCTGAGGATCTAATAGATGATTTGGAACATAAGGAAGCAAAAAACAACCAATAAGAACAAGAAGAAAAAATGAATACCAAAAAAATGAGGATAGTATAATCAGCCTCTGGGACAACTTCAAGAAATCCAACATTTGGATCATAGGGATGCCAG